TTTAACAAGTGCAAAAAACCTATAAAACATTTTAAAATTTTGATTCATCTTTCTCTACACTGCTAAGGAGTTTAGGCTTGTAATAAGAAATTTTCATTTTACTAAAATCAATTTAGAGAAAAAAGTGTATTATTTTAAATTTTGTCGGTGTATAATTTTTAGGTAAGGGTTTGAACTATCATCTTGTAAATTCAGATACAATTATTTTCGGATCTTTGACGATTTTGACAGAAATGATCCAACCACCCCCTGGTCTTCCTTGCCTACCCTGTGAATATTAGACAGCTCTAGTGATCTTTTAACTAAACTTAATTTTGGTAAGGCTATAGTTTGATGGGTATTGTTTTTTTTTGTTATTATTTGCATTTAAAATCATTAATTGAGTGCGTTTTATTAAATTTAAAAATCTAATTTTGTCAGAAATGCACCTGAATAAGTGTAGAATGCCCACCCTTAATGTTGCGCAATCGGTTAATTTTAGGCAATTCCAAAACGGTTAGCCAAGTTTTTAGGTTAAAAAATCGGCTAAGCATAATTAGGCTTAGCATTAAAATAGGCGAAAACTAATTATTCAAAAATTAGGCATCGTCTAAGGAGCTCGGTTAATCGCCCGTCATATATCGTTACATAATAAATATATTAAATAATTTTAATAAAAGCTAGGCTTAGTGAAGCGTAACGCTGACGGGCGATTAGCCTAGCTCCTAGTCCCTACATTTTGTCTAATTAGTTTTAGGCGATTTTTCGGTTAAGCCAAATTAGGTTTAGCTGATTTTTAGGCTACTAACACTACTTATAAATTTCAGATTAATGTAAATTAAAATTTCTTCAGAGGTTCAATGAAAGATCTTCTGAAATTTATAGGGTTGGTATTCTATACATATTATAATGCATTTTCAGCGAAATCAAATTTAAAATTTAATAAAACGCGCTCAATTTATGATTTAAAATGAAAAAATAAAACAAAATAAAACAAAATAAAATTATTAAATACAAAAAAATTTTGGCGCAATCGTATGAAAATCGCACGGTAGATTCTCTTCGGAATTGGTAAAATCAGATTTATTAGGGAAATTATAAAAGCGCACTATAAATCAGAGACCTGGCCCTACCTTAAGCCCGGGCAGTAATTTAATTTTTTTAAATATATATGGGCCGAGCCTAAAATTTTATATTTTTAAATACACGGGCCGGGTCAAAAAAAGCTTTTTTTGAAAAAACTCGGGCCGGGCCATATATTTTAAAACCAAATATTTTAAATCACCATTATTATCTAGGAAAGAAAATATATAATATATTTTCAAAAAATCGGGGCTGGGCTAAGCAGATTAAAATAATGCACAAAGTAACTAAATATTGACAAAATTTTCTAAAACAATTGGTGTAAGGCTGGCTTTGTTGCTAATATTTTTTTTATAAAATGCTACTCTACTAGTTAAAGCAAAGCACTAATAAAAACTGATAAAGAAGGAAACATTTTCATAATTTTAGCATTACTACTTCTAATTGTTCAGCGTATTTTAAAAAAAATAACAACAGGAAACTCAAAAATATTATCATAATTATTCATGAGCAATACAAATCAGGAACGTGAATAATTTCTTTTAAGATTATTTTTTCCCTTTTTTTATTCAAGGGTTCCGAGAATTTATATGACGGCATATGGCATGTTTTTTTTGAGAAAATTTATTACTAAAATAATACTTAATTCATTTTCTATAAAATCATTCTGTAAAAAATTATTCTCTATAAAATCCTTCCTATGAAATAATTCTCTCTAAAACAATTATCTGTAAAATATTCTCTAAAAAATAATTCTCTGTAAAACAATTCTCTGTAAAACAATTCTCTGTAAAATATTCCGAGATTCTCTATAAACGACATTCAAATATAATTGTTTTCTCTATATAAAAGTTTCTCAATAAAATCAATTCTCTATAAAATCATTCTCTGTAAACGACATTTTATATAATTGTTTTCTCTTTAAAAGTTTCTCTATATAATAAATTCTCTATAAAATCATTCTCTATAAACGAGATTCTCTATAAAATCATTCTCTATAAATGAGATTCTCTATAATTGTTTTATTCTTTATAAAATCCTTCTCTATAAAATAATTCTCTCTAAAACAATTCTCTGTAAAATATTCTCTATAAAATAATTCTCTGTAAAACAATTCTCTGTAAAATATTCTCTATAAAATCATTCTCTATAAACGAGATTCTCTATAAAATATAGTTGTTTTCTATATAAAAGTTTCTCTATAAAATCATTCTCTATAAACGACATTCTATATAATTGTTTTCTCTTTAAAAGTTTCTCTATAAAATAAATTCTCTATAAAATCATTCTCTATAAACGAGATTCTCTATAAAATCATTCTCTATAATTGTTTTCTCTTTAAAAGTTTCTCTATAAAATAAATTCTCTATAAAATCATTCTCTATAAACGAGATTCTCTACAAAATCATTCTCTATAAATGAGATTCTCTATAAACGACATTCTCTATAATTGTTTTCTCTTTAAAAGTTTCTCTATAAAATAATTTCTCTATAAAATCATTCTCTATAAACGAGATTCTCTACAAAATTATTCTCTATAAATGAGATTCTCTATAAACGACATTCTCTATAATTGTTTTCTCTTTAAAATTTCTCTATAAAATAAATTCTCTATAAAATCATTCTCTATAAACGATATTCTTTATAAACGACATTCTCTACAATTGTTTTCTCTATAAAAGTTTCTCTATATTTGCATTCTCTATAAAAGATTCTATGTAAAGACGGGATACCAAATAAAAATATATTAAATAAGCATCAATTTTAAATTACCATTTTTCCCATTAGATAAAAAAAATACGTAAAAAAAATTTATTAAAAAAAATACGTAAAAAAATTTATTAAAAAAAATACGTAAAAAAATTTATTAAAAAAAATACGTAAAAAAAAATTTATTAAAAAAATAATAAACTTTTTTTAAATATTTGTTTGTAAAACAAGCGTGTTAAAAAATAAAATAACTTTATATGACACCATTTATTGCTGTTAATGTTAAATAAAGGCGTTCAATTTTTTATCCCACTTCAAACTTGGCTAATGATAATGCACGGTAAGCGTGCACTATTTTTTTCATGTTTTTCATAAATTAACAAGCACGCCAAAACGTCATATATTTATTTTTATGTAAAGAAATAAATAAAATTACTAAAGCTCTCGTTTATAAATGTTCGTTTTTTAATTATTTTATTTTAAAAACAGAAATAATTATCTAAAAATTCAAAATGGATACTCATCAATATTAAAAGTAATTGTATTTATATAGTTACAATAATGACTTTATATTTAAAATTTAATGAAACAGGTTATTTCGCAATTGAAGGTGTCTAATATTATCCTTTATAAAGTATTCTCTTTTTGCCAAAGAATCTGATTTATATTAAATACACAAAGGCCCTTTTGAAATTTTTTTTGTTTTAAAATGTAGCTTTTGTTTTGATCCAAAGAAAAATTTATATTTTTTATAATCAAAAAAGAAATAAACAACTTTTCATTATAATGTGAATTCTCATAGCAGATATGAATATTTTTTTAAAAAGCTTTTATCATACTAGATTCTTATGGATGAGCATCAAAGCAATTTTGATTTAGACAATATAACTTCTAAAAGTCAAATAAATTTAAAGATAACAATATTTTTAAGAATATATTTACTATTGACTTGAAATGTAATTATTAAAAGTTTTACCTAAAATTTTTATCTTACTCTATAATCTATTTAATAGGTTGGGGCTCAATTTGAATCATTTAATGATTTGCAGGTATAAAGATAGCTAATATTATCCAATACTTTAAGAAACAAATATTTTTTTCAATTTATATGTTGTCTAAGAATATGCATAAATGAGATATAAATAATTCCCAATGAATCATAACATATTTTAGTCAGTTTGATTTAATTTCATATATTATCACTCAGAGGTTGATTTTATTTTTTTCTGCGTGTATTTTATCAAAAACAGTACAAATAACCTGAGACCTTAAAATTTTGCTCACTGATGAAAATTCACTAATAAAACTTTTTTTCTTCAAATAATTGGCTACCAAATTATTCCAAAGAATCTTGAAAACCATAGTAGCTAATATAAGCTTCTCTAATTTTATTTAATTCTATTTTTAACAGCTATCTATAGTATTACTCATACTACTATTGCATAACTGACTTATTGGCTTAATTGCTGATTGAACTAAGTTAAATATTATCTACCCATTTTGGATTTCAATTTAAAATAAATTTTATAATTCAATCTTAAGTTGTTTTACTTCTTATACTTATTGGTTAAAATATTTCAAATAAGTTAAGATAAAAAATTAATACCATAAACACTATAATAAAATAATTATTTAGATTCAACAATGTTTATTATCATTTTATTATATTCAAAATAAAGCTTCTATGTAGCAAGTGAAATAAAGTCAAGAAGTATACAATAGAAATAAACAATAACACCTCGATATAATACCCAAAGGCCCTTTTAAGGGCCAGTTAAAATTTGTAGAAGAAAAAGAGTTTAAAGATAATAAAACATTAAGCTTTTGTTTCCATCAAAAGAGAAATTTATATTATATATAAGTCAAATAAAAAGAATAAACAATTTTTCATTTTAATGTGAATTCTGATATAATTATGGAATAAATATTTTAAATTATCATATATTTTATTTGAATTTAATAATATCACCTTTGATTCAATTTTAACTATAATTTCTTTATCTTAATTTTATTCTTAGCACATAAATTAAACCAAAATGATAGTATTCTTAAATCTTATTTAAAAATTTTATTTTCATTGTTTTGCAAATTTGGTCTACATTTTGATCAATTCATTCACAAATCCTATAATCTTGCCTTATTTTCCAAAACATCTTTAATTTTTTTTATATCTTACCCTTCTAAATAGCCAAAATAACGTAAAGCAGCCCATAAAAAATTTCCCTGTTCTTTATTATTGCATTATTTAGAAGTGACTCAATAAAACAAATATTTTTTGAAGGTCATTTTTTATTATAAGATATATAATTTATAAAAAAATAATATTTGTACTATTGATTATATAAAAATTAATATTAAATATTTTATTTAAAAAATGATAGCTTTCTAATTTGATTTGAGCTTGTAGATATATTCCCAACTTTCACAAAAGAAAAATTTTAAGTTGGGACATTTGTGGTGTTATTTAATGGTAATGTCAGTTTGGGCATATTATTTGGTAAAATCCCTTAAAGAAATAAATATTAAATATTATTAAAGTGGTCTATTACTAAAAGGATTTAATGGCCTAATATTAGTTCCATGTGGTAGTACTAAAATAAAATAATCAGGTATATATATAATAAAAGTTATTTACAGGAAATGTGGAGTACATTGTTCGTTTTCGCAGAAGTATCCTCTGGTAATATCTTTTTTTGTAATTGATTTGTATTTAATAGAGGCCCTACAATAAAACATTAGATAATAATATAATTAAGTAATTTCATTACTAAAAGAATCTTTTTGTCTATCATAATTACAAGAATGGATAACTATATTCTTATCTGATGAGCCAGCAGTGTGCTTTTTAGCATTAGCACATCCTAAAAATAATATATATAAAAAATTAAATAAAGTTTATTTAAAAATCTAATCTAACAATATATAATAACCTATAAATGTTTGCATTGATGAATGTAAAGGTAGAATCTTGAAAATATATTATGCATTATAAAAATTTATATAAAAATACTTGTGTTTTCAGAAAGAGTTTGCAAGGGTTTACTATTTGTGAAAATTTTTATTGATGAGGGAAAACTAGTATCTAAAAAATATATATTGTAAAGACATAAAAAAATTTTTTGCTTCTCATATAAACAATATTTGCTTTTAGCCAAAAAAGTGATATCAATGTAACTCTAAAATATATAACCTTTCATATCTATCATATGCTTAAAGTTGTGATTATTTTCTTTGTCCATTATATTGATGTTATTTATTTGTTTCTTTTTCATCACTTTTACTTTTCACAAATAATATAAATGAATTTAAAGATCAAACCTTTTCTTATATTTTTAGCATCTTTGCGTCTTTCAAATATCCTGGACTCATTTTTTCTGGCATTTCAATATTTTTAATATTATTGAAGTTGATTTTTACTTCACTAACTTGTTTCAGTGGATTTTCTGGTTTTTGTTCAACATCTTTTATATATATTTTCTAAAGTTTACAGAATATATTATAATTCATTAAAAAAAATTATTAATAAATTCTAAAAAAAAATGATTACCCATGTCATTAAATTTAAACCCTGATGTTGGATTAAATATATTGATAGCATATTCAAATTGTTCAATAATTTTAGCAATAGGCTGACATATATCTTTATATACATATTTTAAGTGTATATATTTTGTTAAATGCATTTTGATTCATCTGAGATGATAATGATGATATATTTTGCATTATATCCTTTACTTTTCTGAATTTTTTTTCAGATGATAGAATTTTTTTTCATTGATAATATGATTAATTCTAGTGCCATCGATATCATTTTGATTAATATTAGTAGTAAGTATATTATTTTTATCAGTCATCTTATAAATTTTGGGAATGACTAAAATACGCGTCCCCGAAAACTACGCGTCCCTACGCTACCCCGGTCAAAACGACTTACTTTTATTATTATTAATAGGAAATCTTATTAAGCTTTATAAGATAAGTTAGAAAATGTTTTTTTTAATTTAAAAAAAACGGTAACTATATAAAATTTATAAAAATTTATTTTTTTAAAAAATAAACTACGCGTCCCTACGCGTCCCCGGTCAAAATACAGTTTTTTTTAAAAAATAAAAACAGATTCATATTTAACTCATTAAAAGAATACAGAATATGTAAATATTATATTTTAAAGTATTTTATAACTTAGTGATTTTTTGAAAAAACACTTTTTTTTTCAAAAACACTACGCGTCCCCGGTCAAAAAACCGTTTTATTTTAAAATAAAGGCAGATTCATGTTTAGCTTTTCAAGGAGATTCAGAAAATGGTATTAATAAAAAAAATTTTTTTTGGCTAAACTACGCGTCCCCGGTCAAAATACAGTTTTTTTAAAATATCAAAACAGATTCATATTTAGCTCATTAAAAGAATACAGAATATGTAAATATTATATTTTAAATTATTTTATAACTTAGTGATTTTTTCAAAAAACACTTTTTTTTTCAAAAACACTACGCGTCCCCGGTCAAAAAACCGTTTTTTTTTAAAAATAAAAGCAGATTCATGTTTAGCTTTTCAAGGAGATTCAGAAAATGGTATTAATAAAAAAAATTTTTTTTTTGGCTAAACTACGCGTCCCTACGCGTCCCCGGTCAAAATACAGTTTTTTTTTAAAATTCAAAACAGATTCATATTTAGCTCATTAAAAGAATACAGAATATGTAAATATTATATTTTAAACTATTTTATAACTTAGTGATTTTTTGAAAAATCACTTTTTTTTTCAAAAACACTACGCGTCCCCGGTCAAAATTTTTTAAAATAAAAGCAGATTCATGTTTAGCTTTTCAAGGAGATTCAGAAAATGGTATTAATAAAAAAATTAAAAAAAAATATTTTATCGAAAAAATTTTTTTTTGGTTCGGGGACGCGTATTTTAGTCATTCCCTAAATTTTTGAATTACGTGATACGTGATAAAAGCGTTTTCGCCCTCTGGTTGTGGATACAACAGAGCTACGCTAGGTTTTCCTCAAAAATCCATCAAACTGGATAGTTAATTAAGGGGAGAAAAAAATGAGGAGCCCTTCACACGTTTGTGGGCAAGCCGCACGTACTTGTACGCGCAACAGTCCGAGAACTGTTGCTTAAACGCCTATAGGCTAATCAACAAAAAGAAATGGGCAAAACAAAAGCCTATACCCATGAACTGCCAAAATAATTTAATTACTTTAAGGGTGGGTGGCGGCTAATTTTAAGTTTAACATCTAATGTAAGCCTTGATAGTTACTAACAAATAATTGAGAATGTGTTCATATCAATTGAGATTAGAATTTATTCATGAAAATAAGGAAAAGCTAAATGGGTTTACCACAAATTGTTTAAAATAGGTGAAAATTCCAGTGAATAGGCAAAAACTAGTCAGTAATCGGTTTATGACTATCCAGCAACGAACACCACACAACAAACGGTTATTTTTTCCTTTTTCCAGAGAAACAAAATACTCTATGGAGTGATAGATAGATTATATAGCGAAAAAGGTCTTTGATAATGATAAAGATATGAGAGAAAGGAAACTATGACGCAGAAATAGGAACCAGCTCCGTAAGTTTTAGGAAATGGAAAAGTAATTGTTGGCCAGGATTAACAAAAGGCATTTTGGCTTGATTGTTATATGATAGTCTATCACTCACGGAAAGACTCTACCAACAAAACATATTTACAAACCTCGCCACCCCCCTGTCGACTGGTTTCTCCATAAATGAAATAACAAGTGAACAAAGACTAAGAAAAAAACACTAAGAAAAAGCAAAGCTCCAGGGCCAGATAATATCACAGCAGAAATACCAAAAAAAATAAATAGCACCTATAACAATATCGCTACCTATTTGCCCTCATTTAATAGAATATGGGAGAGCGGAACTACTGCAGTGGGATGGATCAAAATCCTATCTAAGTAACTACCCAAAAAACTAAGACCACAGAAATTTAAGGCTTATTGAGCTATAGCCATCACATCCTATAGCATGGAAAAAAAGCATATCACCCACACCAAAATACATAAGTATATACAGGCCAAGAAAAGAAAATGCTGGATCCAAAAATTAATTTAGAAAAATAATCATGCAGAAAAACTAAGTACAAAACCCCCTTCTGCTTTACATTTGTGAATTATAACAGAGCTATTGATAATGTTAACCATGCAGTTTTGTCAGAAAATAAGATAAATAAAAGCTGAAGTCAGTGAAGTAAGTAATTCACAGAAAAGGTGAAAGACAAAATCAAGAGGTAAAATTGAGAGATGAAGAAATTAAATAACCTGAAAAATACAGAAAAAATTATGAGAGGTTTAGGTAGGTTCGGGGCCGAAATATTCCCACAGCTGTTTGGAGTCAAATGAAAGAAGGATGGTGAATACAAACAAGACACATTTAACATTTAAATTTAAGAAATTTTAAAATATTTATATTATAATTTATGCAATATATATTTATGAATATTTAACTAAATATAAAATATTTAAATATATCTAAAGTAATATTTAATATTTGTAATATTAAATTATATATAAAGTAATATTTAATAAATAATTAAAATATTAAATTATATATAAAGTAATATTTAATAAATAATTATACATATCTAAAGTAATATTTAAATATATATATATAAAGTAATATTTAAATATATATATAAGGTAATATTAAATTATATATAAAGAAATATTTAAAATAATTAAAATATTTATATGATAATTTGTGCAATATATTATAAAATATTTAAATATATCTAAAGTAATATTTAAATATATATATAAAGTAATATTTAAATATAAATATAACGTAATATTAAATTATATATAAAGTAATATTTAAATATATATATATATAAAGTAATATTTAAATATATATATAAGGTAATATTAAATTATATATAAAGAAATATTTAAATATAAATAATTAAAATCGTTATATGATAATTTATGCAATATATTATAAAATATTTAAAAAGTAATATTTAAATATATAAATAAAGTATTATTAAAAACCTTAAATATATATAAACTAATATAAAATAAAATATAGGAAGAATGTATTTAAATTCGCTAAAATAATTGGTTAATTTATAATTAATAAAGTTTTTTAGGATAAATGATGTAATGATACGAGTTTTCTAAATAAAAAAATGTAACCATAAAGTTTTCTAATATAAAGATTGTTTATTTTATTTTAAATTATTAATTTAATTTTATATAATTTTAAAATTTTACATTTTCTTTATCAAACTAAAAAAATCAGGTTTATATAATAATTTTCATATTAATATATAAAAATTTATATAATAAAAATCAATCTACACAATTTATAAAAAAATCAATTTATATCAACATAAAAAAAACAATTTAAAGGTTAGTATTAATCGGTCATATTAACAATAATAATTAATTAATATAAATGATTATTGTTAATAACAGAATGTAGACTATCTGGCTTATGTTAATTGTTAGGTATAAAAGAATAATCTGAAATTTCTGAACCCAAAAATAAATTTAACATAGTTAGTGGAATGTGTATATATTTATGAAGATCTTTAAGTGGATAGCAGTATATCATATTAAATTTTTTTAATTACTTCTAGTGCTGTAAACGTTACTACAAAAAAGAAACGCGTTACAGTTACTCGTTACATCTGAATAAGGGAACCCGATACGGTTACCTTAAAAAGAAACGCGCATTGAACGACTTGTCTTTATCTGAAAATCTTTGTAATTCAGATATGTCATAAGAGTCGTCATATGCAATTATCCTTAATATGACTATCTATTAATTTCCTTCTTTCCCATGCTTCCCTTAAAAATGGCTGCAGAGTTTGAAGATTGCCCCCATATTCCATAATAGCTTACACTTAGAAAATGTAATTTTTAAAATAATTTTAGAGTGTACATCGTTATTTCAATGTCAACAGTAATAAGAAATAAATAATTTTATAGTAAAATTAAATGTTTTTATTTTTTAAATATTTTGAGTCTAAAGCGGACACATAGTATATAATGAGAAAAGGGAGAGAAAAACGAATATTATAAGATGCCTCCTCAAATTTAATCAATCAGGCAGATAAAAAAATATATTTTGAAGTAACTTTTCCCCTCCAAGCTCTTGTAGAAAATTCGAGCCGTGTTGCGTCTAAAATTTAAAAATGATTGGCACAAGTGTTGTTAATTTGCTTGGTCGTAAAATTTACGAACCAAGTTTGTGTTCAAAGTTCTACTCTTGGGTAAACTAAGAAAAAATAAATCTCATTTACTAATCTTTCAAATTTTATTATACATTTAAATTTAATTATAAATTAGTAGGCTTTATTATTTTTTTCTACATTAATTCCATTTTCTAACTAAGCATTCAAATATTTGTTTAAATTGCGATGATTTTGGCTGTTTGTTTGATTTAACTATTTTTTCTCTTCCAGACTATGTTAAATCATCTTATATAATTATTAGTTTATATATAGTTACTTAACTATCAAAACAACACTCAGGTATTACAACAACAAACAACTACGTTTTAATGTATCTGTTTTTTTTACTTACTTCAATTTTTTTTTTCTCTTGAAACACGAAAATCGATAATTTTATTTCTTTATTTTTCTTTTCTTAAAATATGAAATCGTACATAAAACAAAATAATTGTCTCCAAGTGTTTTATTTTAATTATTTTTGCAAAGAAAATAATTTTATATGGATAAGATAACATGTTTCATTAAATCATCACAACTAAGGGAATGACAGCGTTGCCTGTTTGTATATAGAAAAAAAAATGTTTTTTTATTCTTTACGTGATACGTGATAAAAGCGTTTTCGCCCTCTGGTTGTGGATACAACAGAACGCTAGGTTTTCCTCAAAAATCCATCAAACTGGATAGTTAATTAAGGGGAGAAAGATGAGGAGCCCTTCACACGTTTGTGGGCAAGCCGCACGTACTTGTACGCGCAACAGTCCGAGAACTGTTGCTTAAACGTCTATAGGCTAATAAACAAAAAGAAATGGGCAAACACAAAAGCCTATACCCCAGAACTGCAAAAATAATTTAATTACTTTAAGGGTGGGTGGTGGCTAATTTTAAGTTTAACATCTAATGTAAAGCCTTGATAATTACTATCAATAATTGAGAATGTGTTCATATCAATTGAGATTAGAGTTTATTCATGAAAATAAGAAAAAGCTAATGGGTTTACCGCAGATTGTTTGAATAGGTGAAAATTCCAGTGAATAGGCAAAGCTAGACAGTAATAGGCCTATGACTATCCAGCAACAAACACCACACAACAAAGGTTTTTTTTTATTTTCTTTTTCCAGAGAAACAAAAATACTCTATGGAGTGATAGATAGATTATAAAGCGGAAAAGGTCTTTGATAATGATAAAGATATGAGAGAAAGGAACTATGACGCAAAAATAGGGAACCAGCTCCGTAAGTTTAGGAAATGGAAAAGTAATTGTTGGTCAGGATCAACAAAAGGCATTATGGCTTGATTGTTATATGATAGTCTATTACTCATAGAAAGACTCTACCAACAAACATAATTACAAAACCTCGCCGCCCCCTGATGACTGGTTTCTCCATAAATGAAATAAGAAATTGTCAAAGACTAAGAAAAACAAAGCTCCGGGACTAGATAATATCACAGCAGAAAAACCAAAAATAGCACTTATAACGATATCGCTACCTATTTGCCCTCTTTCAATAAAATATGGGAGAGCGGAACTACTGCAGTGGGATGGAACAAATCCTACCTAAGTAACTACCCAAAAAACTAAGACCATAGAAATTAAAGGGTTATTGAGCTATAGCCATCACATCCTGTTGCATGGAAAAAATTTTTATGGTTCACTCAAAAAAACCACAAGCGTATCACCTACACCGAATCTTCCCCCTAAAAATACATAAGTATATACAGGCCAAGAAAAGAAAAATACAGGAGCCAAAAATTAATTCAGAAAAATAATCATGCAAAAAGTAAGTACAAACCTAACTTTAAAAAAAAAATTATTCTGTAAACATACTCTTTACCCTACCCATAGTGGCGCCACTATTTTATTATGAATAAAAATAATCGTAAGAGGAAAATAATTTCCAGGAAAAGAAAGAAAACATGATAAATTTTCCACAAAAAACCTAAGATATAGGAACTAATTGAAAAGATGATGATGGAAATAGCCGTCGACTTGGACAAATCGGCCATTGGAGGAATCAGGCATACACTCCTAAAAAATCGTAGATAACATATAAAACAAAATATTTTGAAAAGATGATGATGGAAATAACAGTCGACCTGGACAAATCGGCCAATGGAGGATTCAGACATACACTCCCAAAAAAAATCGTAGATACCAAACAAAACAAAATATTTTGAAAAATTTATGTGATTTTTTAAAAGAGAGAAGAGACTTACCTAATTTTTTCTTGGAGAACATATTGTTTCATTTGAATAATATAACTTATTTTTTTATATATCATTTATATATATTTTAATAATTTCTTATCTGTAAATTTAAAAAAAATTTGATAAGCAAAATAATAATTGTAAGATTTGAAATATATAATATTCACTGCTTATAATCATCTCTGAAATAGATATTTTTATGAATAAAATTCAAGGTTACAACGTTAGTAACTACGTTACTTTTTTTTACATTACTTTACAGCACAAATTAATATATAAATATTTATATTTTAGAAGGCAAATTTTATAATTTTTATTCTGATCATACTTAGGGTTGAACATCTATCGGTTACCGGATTAATTTATTAATCTATTTAATTAAAACCTATGATTAACCAAGACATATAAAAGTCTAATAATAAATTAATCAATTGTTTTAGTTAAAAAAATCAGCAATATATATTCAAAAATGATTATTTGAATAAAATAAGGATTCAAAATTTAAATTTTGTATTTCTTTTATCAATTATCTCCTTCCTTATACTTGTTTGGATGGACATGATACAAAAAAATTTGAATAATAAAATTTTATGTTACAAATTTTATAAATTATGGATTTTCTCAAATGACAATAAAATTTAAAATATCCTTTATTAAAATATAATAAATAGTAATATGACATTTTAAAACAACAACAACTTAATTAATATGGAGAAAAAAATTTCATAGATGGAAAAGATGTCCTTTTCACCAATCTTTTCCTCACAGATATAACACCATTCAATCTCAATATAAATATAGAACTTCCAATATAATTTTACTTTCCCAAAGAATAATAAATTCAATTTTTATATGTTAGCATTTTTTACAATTAATAATAAAAATATCTAAAAAACAATTGAATTTGTAATAAAATGAAATTTACATTGAAACATATTCACCACCATCCTGATAAATCTAAAGAGCATTATGCAATTATGAATAAACTTAAAGTACAAATTATCCCCATATCACTGTCTCCAACTTCTTGTGGAGGATTGAACATTTGACTTTCTTCCAACAAGTTCCCAGAAATTCCCACATCACTGTCTCCAACTTCTTGTCGAGGATTTATCAAAGGAGGCACTAATGTCGTGACTTAAATAAAAATATATTAAGAAAAATTTGATTAAATATTTATAATAAAATTTAAAAATAATTTTGTAAAATACTTCCTCTTCTTCCACTTAAAATAATTATTGTTCTTCTAATGTTCTATTTCTTAGAAAATATAAATATTTCTAATTTTATCCATGTGTTCAAATGCTGTTAAAATTATAAAAGATATATGATAAATTTTAGAAAAAAAAATTTGCCATACATCATTAAAACCAATTACCTTGGCCTTGTTCAGAAAAATATATTCTAATAATATAGAATCTTGCTAATACTAAGATATAATCTTGCAAATACTAAGATAGAATCTTACTAAAACTAATATGTAAATATTAATTAAAACCAATTACCTTTGCCTTGAGGTATTTATATTTGATATTAGCTTTTAAGGTTTAGTCTTTATTTTATAATTTTCTACAAAAATGGTTTGTAAATAGCTTTTGAGGTTTAGTCTTTATTTTATAATTTTCTACAAAAATGGTATGTAAATAGCTTTTAAGGTTTAGTCTTTATTTTATAATTTTCTACAAAAATGGTATATAAATAGCTTTTGAGGTTTAGTCTTTATTTTATAATTTTCTACAAAAATGGTATATAAATAGCTTTCGAGGTTTAGTCTTTATTTTATAATTTTCTACAAAAATGGTATGTAAATAGCTTTTAAGGTTTAGTCATTATTTTATAATTTTCTACAAAAATGGTATATAAATAGCTTTTGAGGTTTAGTCTTTATTTTATAATTTTCTACAAAAATGGTATGTAAATACCTTTTGAGGTTTAGTCTTTATTTTATAATTTTTTACAAAAATGGTATGTAAATAGCTTTTGAGGTTTAGTCTTTATTTTATAATTTTCTACAAAAATGGTATGTAATTAGCTTTTGAGGTTTAGTCTATTTTATAATTTTCTACAAAAATGTGTATGTAAATATTAATTAAAACCAATTACCTTTGCCTTGAGGTACTGTATTTATATTTAATATTAGCTTGGTTTCGTCTTAATTTTAGAATTTTCAACAAAAATGTGTATGTAAATATTAATTAAAACCAATTACCTTTGCCTTGAGGTACTGTATTTATAATTTTAGAATTTTCTTGGCTTTATTTATGATTACCTTTGCCTTGAGGTACTGTATTTATAATTTTAGAATTTTCTTGGCTTTATTTATGATTACCTTTGCCTTGAGGTACTGTATTTATAATTTTAGAATTTTCTTGGCTTTATTTATGTCTACTCTATTGTAAGGATGCGAGAAAGATTCCGATTCCAAGCGCCGATATTAATTTTAGAATTTTCTACAAAAATATAATTTTATAATTTAGGAAAAATAATTTGCCATTTGACTCCAAATGGTTTGATGACAAAAGAAAGAAAAATGAATCGGACCGATACCGAATGTTATACCAATTATTATTAAAATATTCTTCCACATCTGGAAAATTTAATGCAACCAATGAATTATATATTTCCCAATAATGCTCTTCTGTTTTTTGAATATATCATTTTTTTCAATAAATTTAGCACAATTTTTACTTGTGTAGAATTTATATTTCTCTTTTTAGCAGTTATTTCTCTAATAAATGTTTGTTGAACATAAAATATACATATTTCAAGAGAGGCCATAGGAAAGGCTTCTCTATAGGCATGCCTATCAGCAAAGTCTTTGTCTGCGATTATTACTTTAATTTTGTTATTATTATCATTGTACGATTTAAATAAATCACACATATTTTTAACAATTAAATAATTCTCAGATTTGACTATCCAGATAGCAGCAAATCTCGTTTGTTCTTCGCCATCAATAACAAAGAGAGTAAATACTGGCATTTGATAATAATTTAATTTATAAGTTGCATCAACAAGGAGAATCTCTGGAAATGCACTAAAGTATTCCTTCATATTTGGGGTCTGGTAATATATACCCTGAAGGCTATTATTTTCATAAACTATTTTGATATTATCAGGGCTTTGATTTTTTAATAAGTTGATAACATCCATGAGCTCAGAGTCCCCTGGTTGATATAGTATTTTCTTTTTTATATTATATAAATCACGATTTGTAGCATAAATTCCTTTTTTTTGGAAGTCATATTTTATTTTAGGAATTGAAGCATTATATTCTAAGCACTTAACAATTAATGATCTTGATTCATCATTTATTTTACATTGCTTAGGTAAACGCATGTATAAATTATAATCTAAATTAATAAATAAAAATTGTATCTTAAAAATATATACCCAAATCATGATTATGCCCAATATTCATTTTGGAAACTTCTAGCCTATGTAGATCCCCTATTATTATGTGCTTTACTGAAAAGCTGTCTGGGCAATTTAGTTGTAAAGTTTGGGTAATTTTCCTTTCCCACGACTTTTAAAGTGTCTTCCTCCATGTATACAAACATAACGTATATATTTGTATTGTATTGTTTGAATTATGTTTTCATCAAAATTACCAAGCTTGATACATGTTGCTATATGGTAATTAGTAAACACTAGATTTTCATATTTATCTATAGCTTCTCGCAAATCATTAAATGATTCAAATTGTGCCCCAACCTATGAAATAGATTATAGAATAGATAACCTTATTAAAAAAAATATGCATTGTTACTTCTAATTTTTTTTGGGCATGACTAAAATACGCGTCCCCGAAAACTACGCGTCCCTACGCGTCCCCGGTCAAAGAGGTTTAATTTATATAATATTAATATAAAATCTTATTTAGCTTCATAAAATAAGTTAAAAAATGTTTTTTATGATTTAAAAAAAAAATGATATCTTAGTAAAATTTTTAAAAAATTATTTTTACATGAAAAAACTACGCGTCCCCGGTCAAGATATAATTTTTTTTTTTAAATAAAAGCAGATTCATATTTAGCTCATTAAATGAATATAGAAAATGTTTTTTATGATTTAAAAAAAATGTGTTAACTTAGTAAAATTTTTAAAAATTTATTTTTTTTAAAAAAAACTACGCGTCCCTACGCGTTTTTGACTAAACTACGCGTCCCTACGCGGGTCAAGATAGATTATTTTTATAAAATTGAATATAGAATCGTGTATAGTTTTTTATGGAGATTCCGAAAATGGTATTAATAAAAAAAATTTAATTAATTTTCGAAATTTTTTTTTTGACTAAACTACGTGTCCCTACGCATCCCCGGTCAAGATACATTTTTTTTAAAAAAATAAAAACAGATTCATGTTTAGCTCATTAAATGGATATAGAAAATGTTTTTTTTTATTTAAAAAAGAAGTGTTAACTTAGTAAAATATTTAAAAAACACTTTTTTTTAAAATTTTTTCACTAAACTACGCGTCCCCGGTCAAGATAGAATTTTAAAAAATAAATATAGAATCGTGTATAGTTTTTCAAGGAGATTCTGAAAATGGTATTAATAAAAATATTTAAAAAAAAATATATATAAATAAAATTTCCAAGCCAGCTTCATACACATAATAATGGTGGTAAAATTTTCTCAAGCCTGCCAAAGACCATGGTTGGACTGGGCTTGGAAAATATTCCTCAAAATTAATATGGGCTTGGACCTGACTTGGGACAATTTTTTACAAATTATTATGTGTTGAACAGGTTTGAGAAATTTCAAAATAAAATAATTCTCAAAATTATTAAGGTCTTGGACACTTGGAAATTTTTTAATATATAATATGAGCCAAACATTGGTTAAAGAAATTTTTCAAAGACCTGGGCCGGGCCTGATCAAAAAAAGAACCATAAGGATATCTGATTAATGCTATACGATTTTTTTAAAATTTTATTTTAGTTCTAAACTACCAAATTTATTATGGTCACGGGTTTAGAGAAATTTTTCAAAAATATTGTGGGCTTGGACCTGGCTTGGGATTTTATAATATTAAATATTAGCCATAGGTAATCAATAATATTTTAACAAATAATTTTGATTTGGGTTGAAAGCTAATTTAAAAATATTTTCTGTTGCATTAGGAAAATTATTTAAATTTAAATTAACTTTGAAATTGTAACTTTAAAAATTGTATAAATTATCACTGTGGGATATTAAAGATAAAAGGTTATAAAATTTGAACATTAACTTTAAAGTATATTGTGATTATGACTTTAGGTTGTTAAAGTTTAATTTGTTTTTATAGATATATATAGTCGTGTTTTTTGTTAATTATAAGAGTTAGTTGTAATATTATGTAATAAAATAAATATTGAATAAAATACGTTACTTGTTTTCAAGTTGTAAATTTATCGAAACAAATGTCTTAAAATATATAAAAATTCACTTAAATAATAATTGCCTTCCGTATAATTTATTATGGTGGCAGCGGTAAAAGTAGTATGATGAATAAAAAATTAATTATTTTATAATTTTTCTAAAAAAAAATAAATAAATAAAAATTTAGGTATCAATGGTTGATGGAATTGATACAAGTGGAAACTCATGGACAAAATATTATGGAAATGGATTCTTAAAGATCATATTTAATAAATTCTAAAACACGTAAGAGATATAAAATAAATATGACGTATAAATATAAAAACTTAAAGTAAATTAAAGTAAATTAAAATAAAATTAATCAATATGGACTATCCAAAATATGATAATGATGTAAATAAATATATAAATGAATAGGAGAAATTTTTTTTGATATATGAAGTTGAAAATAGTGCTAAGGTATTGCTCCAAAATCTTCCAGAAGGTCTATATTTGGAGATGGACGTATTAATGGAAGCAATAAGGTTACCAACAGGGAGAGATGCAACTTTTGAGAAAACTATGACAATATTAAAATATTTATCTGGCTATAAGGCAGAAAAGGAGATAAAAGAAACACCTAAATTACATCATAATTATTTAAATGATAAAGTGCAAACCAAAAATTATAGGAATAATTATAATAATCACTATGAGTGTAAAAATTGTTACGAAAGACATTACAATAATAAGGAATATAATAATTATGCGAGATTTAACAATAGAAATAATAATCATAATATCAATTACAATAAGTATCGATATAATAATGATAATAATTATAAATATAATAGTATAAAAAATAATGAAGTAAAAGTAAAAAAACCAATCAATGTAAAAATAGAAGTAAAAAAACCAATAGTGAAGGATAAGCCAATTGATGTAAAAATAGTATATAGTTCTTTATTTCGTAGTGATATTAATATTAAGTCGTATGAAGAGTGGAAAACGACTAATGAGTTTAACAAGAGACAATTTTGTAGAATTAACGCAGAAAAAGTAGACATTTATAAAACAAAAATTGTAGAAAAGTTGGAAATTAATACTAAAAATTTTGAAATTACGTAGGTAAAAATATTAAAAAATGATATAGTAGAAACGTTTATATGTAGTTATATTAATCACATAGTAAAATTTGAAGAAATAATAATAAAAGAGAAAAAATGTGATAATATAAATAATTTAATTAATATTGATAAAGATTCTAAGAAATGCAAAAATTTTAAAAAAGTGAAAAATATTACGTGTAAAAGTAGGAATAATGTTAAAAGAAATAGGAGTAGTGTTAGGAGAAAGGATGACAAAATTAAAATTGAACATATAAAAGAATTCTTAATGAAGGAGAGAATAAAATTGTTGGGAATAAAATTTATTTTTAAAAGTTTGAAATTTGATTTTAAGAAAATTTTTATAAAAAAATTTATTAAACTAAAGAATAAAGGAGTTAAATTCAAATTAAAATAAAAAGAATAAAAAAGTACGTAATATAAAATTTTAATTACTTCATGGACCAAAATGATTAATATAACATGTAAATTAATACTATAATATAAAAAATTTAAACAATACTAAAACGCGATTCTATAATCAACATTTTATGATGATTATTATATTCTTATATTCGATTGGATCGATTCTTATTATTCCTAATTATTCTTGATTGACTAATAATAATGATAATAATAACGATGGAGGGCAAACGAGCAATCAAACAAATAACAAAGAGGCGAAACGATCATAACAAACCAACGTAATGAAAACAAGCCAATGATAAAACGTGACAAAAGCAAGACAACGATAAAAGATGAAATCAACAATTACTTATGCAACTATAAAAAAATAGCGAAAATGACAAACTAATCGTACAACGGACGTTTTAGAGAGGGAAGAAGTCAAATAAAATCGAAATCAAAATCAAGTTCGAGGTCAAGTTCAAAATCAAAAGGAACAAAATCGGAAATATTATCTGAGACCGAAAAAGATTTATCAAATATATATATAAATAAAATGAATTTTTTTTTAGCTAAATCTGGGTAATGAACACTGAAAGATACATGGACGTAAACGGATAAAAATCTTAGTGACAACTTCAACATACGATACGATCGATACAATGAAGGGGGAAACTAAAAGAGAGGGAAATGTTGTATTAGGAAAATTATTTAAATTTTAACTTTGAAATTGTAACTTTTAAAATTGTATAAATTATCACTGTGGGATATTAAAGATAAAAGGTTATAAAATTTGAACATTAACTTTAAAGTATATTGTGATTATGACTTTAGGTTGTTAAAGTTTAATTTGTTTTTATAGATATACATAGTCGTGTTTTTTGTTAATTATAAGAGTTAGTTGTAATATTATGTAATAAAATAAATATTGAATTAAATACGTTACTTGTTTTCAAGTTGTAAATTTATCGAAACAAATGTCTTAAAATATATAAAAATTCACTTAATAATAATTGCCTTCCGTATAATTTATTACTTACAATTTTACGCTAATTTATATTTTGATACGCTTATTATGCTACAAGTTATAGTTATAAATTGAATACGAATTACACATTTTTTTCATGTTATAGTATTTTCTGATCTATTTTGATAAATTAAATATAAAGACATAATATTATCTGATTTTCTTTTATAACTTAAAATTAGAGATTTAGAATAATCTAGTTTTCTTTAAAAACTTAAATTTAAAGAATTATCCAATTTCCTTTGACGACTTAAATTCAATGAGATTGAATTATCTAATTTCCTTTAACGACTCAAAATTAAAGCATAGGATTTTTTTTGATTTGCTTTGACGATATAAAATTTAAAGACATAGAATTTATTATTTTAATTTTTTATTTTAGTTATGATTATGTAATTACAATTTATATTAATTAACAAAGTATTAGTAGTTAATTTATTTGTATTCTCTTTAATTCTCAACTACAACATTTGTTACCGAAACAATATGTTCTATGGGCAAATCCAGTATAATTAACTTTCATTATTTTACAACTTTGTCCATCACCACCTCCTTCTCTATCAGATTCTCAAATTGATCTTTGAATATATTTAAAATTATATAAAATCTAAGTTTATTATCCTTCATGAGATTTCAGATCAATGATACATTAGCAGCTGAAATAAAAAATATTTAAAACAACTTAAGAAACAGTGAATCAATTAAACTTTGAGGAGATTAGTAATTTTTTTAAATCAATCTTTTCTTATTTTGATAATTTTAATTTTGTAGTACATAAATCATAGACCATGTGATTTAAAATTGATGACATATTTGGGCACTTTTTTATTATGAAATGGGCAGTAATAAAATAATCAGTGGGAAAAATATTTGGTTGGTAATTTTGGATTTTTAGGCAGTTAATATTTAATTTTCAAGTTTTTATATTTACTTGGGCAGTTTTATTTTTTTACACTAACTTTATTAATTTTATCGATAAAAAAAATACTACCATTTTGATAAATTTACTGCCCAAAAATTTATAAATACTGCCAAAAAGATTAATTTGCTAATAATAAAAATACTACCCATTTTTATTAAATTATTACCCAAAAATTCATAGCCTTTAAAATTTTAACTCTTAGAAAATTATATTTCCTTTTCACATTAAATAGATATAAAAAATAATTTAAAAAAATTAGTGCTGTGAAGTAACGTCAAAAAAGTAACTCCATTCGTTACCTCCTTCTAGACGTAATGAGTAACAGTAACGCGTTTCTTTTTTTGAGTAACGGTAACGCAAAACGTTACTTTATATTTTCTCTTAAAAAATATCAAAAAGTAAAACACAATTATAAAATTACTTCTTTTTATTTTTTAATTCTTAATATAAATAATTTAAACCGAGTTTTAATTCATATCAACCTTCCTTCATTTTTATTTTAAATTCTCGTTGTTAAATTTTCTGTCGAAATTAATATTCAATCAAAATTCAAAGTAAATGTTTATAATGATATTATTATTCTTATAATTTATTTTAAGAATATTATGTCCATAGTACTTACTTTTTTTAGATGAAGATGATTTAACCCTTCCCTGGCCCTAATTTGAAATATATTTTAAACCAATAAAGAAAATTAATAGTACCAAATCTACACTTTGTAAATTATATCCCAAGACAAATATTTTAACCTCAATGTCCAGCAGTTCAAACTTAAAAAAAGATAAATTAATATATCATTAATCATGGAATTAAAATATAAGTAGGGCTGTATCGATATTGAATATCGGATCAGATCAACACTGATATTTAGCCTTTTCCAAAAATATCAGATCGGGCCGATACCTGTAAAAAACCGATCCAATCTTTTTTTTTGTTATGTATATTTATTTTACATTATAATATTTTCTAAATAATTTTTTTTTAAACAATGCAAATGCACAACACCCTCTAAATTTTATTCTTTTCTAAAATAGATTTATAGTATTTTAAAAGTTTTTTTTATAAATAGAAAGGAACACCCAAAGTTTTAATTATCTTAAATCTTTTTAAATAATAACGCCAAAAAAATTAATTAAATAATTATATTTATTAATTTACTTTGTTGGGGCATTTCCCTTCGATTAAGCTTCTTATCAGAAAATAGGACTGTACTGATATTTAATATAGGATAGAATCGGAACCGATATTTAACGTTTACAAAAAATATGGAATCTGGCCGATCTTTTTTAAAAAACCGATACGATTTGATATTTATTGTTTTTGGTATTTTATAATTGTATATATAATCATATATTTTTTTTATTTTATAAATAAATTTCATAATAATAAATTAATGAAAGGAACTAATATATAATTTATTTGTTGTTATGTTTAAAAAAATAGTTTAAAATTTTACACTATTTTATGCTAAATTATTTGCAAAAAGAAAAGGATTTTAGATCTAACGAGTCACATTCAGTTAATGCTGCTAAACAGCTCGATTTAGCCCATTTTATATACGAATAACTCAAAATTTTAGCCAAGAATAAATTACCAATGCTTCTTGATTTTCCCCACAGATATCAGAAAGATTTGTCCTTCTATTGGCAAAATTTCGAGGCATAGGCAATAATATTTTGGCTAAAATTTTGATTTGGCCTTTTTAAAAATCGCCAATGGAGTTGTTTAACAACACTACATTCACCCATAAACATTGCAAATATTTGTAGAATACTAACTTATGAAAAATAAAATACATTTAATCATTCGTGAAAGTTAATTGGCTTTTTTAAGGTAGAAAAAATTGATATATTTGTGACATTAAAGAATAGATAAATAAAAATCAATATAAATATCGGATGGATGAAAAATTTGTGGATCGACAAAGCCCTATCAGAAAACTTATGAATTATGAATATATAAAAAAGAGGAAATATAGAAAAATTCAATCATCTTTTTTTTAACTTATAATTTACGAATATTTATAAAATTTCGAATAATAATAAGTTTACTATTCGACGAATATTTTTCCTCATTGTTTCAAATAATTGCATTCGTAAAATACGAATCGAATTTCGAATAACAAATTCGTTTTAGGTCTAGAAAAATCAGCATATCCTTAAATATAAAGGCATATTCTAGTTATAATATAGTATATAACAATATAGCTAATGTCCTATAATCATTGGTTAATATTTTATTCACATATTTCTTTATTAATCATAAAAATATTATATATATTTTTTAAAAATACAACATTCTTTCTACATTTCTCCACATTCACTAATAGTGACAGGAATTTTTGGCTTGTTGTTAGGTCCTGTTGGAACATTCTCCATTTTCCTTAAAACTAATAATCCTTCAACAACTCTACCTAAATGAGAAGATATAAAATATTTTATTTTTAAAAAAAATAAATAAATTAAAGGAGTAATAGAAATTAAGAATTATTTTATTCATTTATAGTTTGCCAACCAAAATGATAAAATTGAAATAAATTACCAAACACAACATGCTTCCCATCCAAAAAATCGCATTTCCCACAAGTGATAAAAAATTGACATCCATTTGTATCTTTACCGGAATTGGCCTGTTTATAAATTTGTTAGTTATATCTTTATTTTTTTTATCCAGTAATTTATTCATTATTTCAAAGAAACAACTTTTATACATGATTAATAATTTATACTAAATTTCTTCCTCTTAATAATCCTTTCTATATCTAATATTTTTAAGTTTATAGTTATTCAATTTCCTATATGCCTTAAGATGACCTATAAAGCAGGGTTTCGAACCGTTTAGTATAACGGTTCGGTTCGTTCCGGTTTTTAGTTTAAAATTTTATAAAGGTTTTGTTCCATTTCGGTTTTTTAAAAAAAAATCATATCGGTTCGGTTCGGTTTATAATTTATAACGGTTCTTTTCGGTTTGTTCCGGTTTTTATAAATTTAATTTTAAAAAAAATTAATCATTAACCATGTATATATTAATTTTAGAGAAAAATCTTTTTAGTTTATAATTTCTTATTTAATTTATCCATGATAATCTAATAGATATTTTTATTAAATTTAGGAAATATAAATTAGACAAATTAGTTTTTTTTTATTTTATAAATAAATAAGATAAAAACAAACATGCGTAAATACAATAATGAATAAAATAATATGTATACTATACTATTTAGGTTTAAAAAGAGAATTCGAACGGATAACTAAAATATTTTTAATATTTCAGGATTTAATTTAGTTCTCTGGGCAGAGAGTATAAACTTAAGGCTTGAAAATGCTCTTTCTACGGAGACCTGCGTAACTGAAACTGCTAGCACAGTTATGGCTAACTTATAAAGTTCTGGCATACTATTCTTTACATTTTCCCAATAATTCAAAAGATTAGTATCTTTTTCTAATCTCTCTATATTATCAAATGAACGAATTATATATTCTATTTCTATACATTTATTATAATTTTCGATGCCCTGAGAATTATTCTTATTAAGACTTTCATGCGACTTTAATAAATCTTCAAAATCATCATCTAAATTATCCTTCGAATACGAACACGTAGGCATAGTATTTAGAATTTCAATATTCTGATTATTTAGATTTTGTATCAAGTTCCAAGTTTTACAAAGATGTTTTCTGGCGATCTCTCTTTCTTCAAAAGTTAAAAATACATTACTAGGGTCGAGATAAATAGCCGAGCAAAAAACTTCATTTTTGAAATTTATTTCTCGTGCTTTCATCGTAGAAAAAGTTTGGCAAATGGAGTGTTTACTTTACTCGTTTGCATGAGACATTTGATCCACGCAGCATAAAAATCGCTCATTTGTCAATTGTTCACTTTGTAAATATTTTGTCAAAACATAAGCTGGATATAAAGCTTTTAATATGTCACTAATTATTTTCCATTCATTCTCTGATAAACATTTTTCGCGATCGCTTTGGAGCGATATTTCTTGGCAAAAGCTTTTTAACTCTAGTAATCTCTCCAACATTAAATAGATAGAGTTCCATCTTGTGCAACAATCTATTAGTGGTTTTTTCAAATTTAATTTTGAGAGAATAGCCATTGTTGTCTGATTTCTTATTTTTTTGCAGATGTTTCTTGCTTTATTTATAATGACAATTTCATTTGAATTTTTAATGCAATCATTAATTGCTAATTGAAATGTATGTGAAGCACATCTAATACCTATTAATATGGATCTGGCATTTGGTGCAAGATTAATATTTTCAATATTAAAAAGTTCTTTATTTTCATCATGAATTATATCATTATTATTTAAATCGTCATTATCTATATCATTATTATTTAAATCATCATTAATAAATAATCGTTAAGGTCATCATCTTCATCATCTTCTTCATCGTGTAGTATTAATAGCTTAATTAACTAAATCATATTTGCTGCATTATCGGTGGTTATTGTGTAAATCTGCTCAATTTTTATTTCATATTCTTTTAGAACATCTAGAATAATTTTTTTAAGATATTCTGATGTGTGTCGTTCTTTAATCACTTTCATGCATAGAGTCCTTAATTTTATTTTTCCGTTATTTATAAATTGAATATTGATCCCCAATATGGACCTATCATATCTAGTTGCTATATCTAATTTTAACGAATTAAGTTTTTGATATACTTCAGGAAAATTAAAATTTTAAATTTAGGTTAATAATTTAAAATTAATTATTTTTAAAACCGTTTTGAACCGGTTTAAACCGGTTCAAAATATTTATAACGGTTCGGTTCGCTCTTTTAATATTTTCTTCATAACGGTTCGGTTAAGGTTACGGTTCAGAAAATCATAACGGTTCATTCCGGTTTTGCGGTTCGGTTCGGTTCGAACCCCTGCTATAAAGTAACAAAATTGTTTCTCAAAGCTCGCTAGCTATTTTCTAAAAACTAGTTAAATATCAATCAAACAGAGTTTGGGAAATTTTTTTTTATGCATGAATATTACTAAAGATTGGTGATAATCATTTCTAGCAAGTTTCATCAACTAAACTCCCTTTCAAAATTTTTCTAATTTAATTTTACCGGAAATAAGAAAACGTTAGGAATATATTAATTTAAAAAAATTAATAGCTACAAAATGATGTTGTGCGTAATTTTAGGCTTTCAAGAGATAAATTTGTGAATTTTGATGACATTCTAAAATTTGAATTTTCCCAAAATTTACAACATAAATAAGTATCATGTCAAGTTTCATTTTTTAAGAAGGTCGTACGAAACACTTGTGGATTTCACATGGAACCACCTTAAATAGTACTGAAATTTATTATCTTATATCCACCCCATTTTTTACTATATGTGGGTTCAAGTTGCAATATTTATTATTTTATTAGGATTTCTATTGGATAGACAGTAGATGATGTTTAAAATTATCACTATTAATGGTTTTTATATCTATTTATGGTGAGGATTTGAAAGAATGTTCTCTAGTTTTTCTTTCAGTGAAACTTGTTTAAATTTTTTGTTCACACATGACCAAGTATCGTATCAGCTATTGAACACATAGTGTTGCTAAGTAGAATCTGAGTTTAAATATTTAACTTTACAGCCAATTTTGTTATCAGTGACTAAAATCCAAGAGTGCTTGGTGAGAAATTATATATTGTTATGACTGAATTTCAACATTTTTTAACTCAATCTTTCTTGGATGTGAAAACATGAAAATATTTGACAAGGAATATGAGCCTCATACAAGTATTGAAACATCATTATTACCCTCTAAATATAGAAAAGTGGGTCGAAGGGGAAGTTAATTATAATAAAGTAGTTAGAGTGGGATCTAGAGCTGGATTGAAACAAATGGAGAAAGTTGTAGATTTCAACTTAATTCAATGTAAGATCGCGCCTAACTTGAGCACATATTTAAATCAATAAAGTAATGACAGACAATCCTAATTAAATATAATAATCAGTAATTATTTACTCTAGTAAGCAACCCAGATGTGAGCGCATTCTTAGTATTTATAATTATTATAGCAAGTGTTATACTTGCAAACCAATTTGATTTTATAATTCATTTAGCAAACCGGTTCATTTCTATTAAGCAATAAATCTGAAGATATTGCAAAAATTTAATAACCAGTTCAGGCGACCCAGCACCAGCACTGACTCTAACCAGAGTTGTTAAACCCTACTTTTTAAGGTAGCGCACTATCGCCATCGTTATTTGTCAAAAAAGTAGCTACAGTTATTGCTACCCATTAAAAAAAGTGGCAGACTGTTAGCTACTATTTTTCAAAAGTAGCTAGATACTTTTTGTAAAAAAAACTGTTTTATTTTTTGCTTAAAAATTGTATAGTATTATAAATATTTAAATAGAGTTAGTTTTGATTATAAAAAAATTTATGTAAAAAGACTATAATTTATGTTAAAAAAATAAATATTTATGGTAATATTCATTTTTTAATAATATAATCATTTCTAAACTATCATTCCCATATCTAAAGCGACAATCAGAAAGTATAAATTTCGAGAACTAAATAAACTCTCAAATCACTTGAGGGCAAGGCAGCATTTAATTTACTTACTTTTATTATAAGAAAATTTACTATGAGTATTTTTAGATTTAAAAAACGCGTCTAGATTTTCTATTATATTAGTATCCTTTATTTCAAAGAAATTATCAGTAAAAGTCGTTTTTGTAATTGTAACTAGGGCATTTTTGTTTGGTATAAATTATTCAGCTTTACCATGAGCCTATCACGTTTATCTTTAGCATAATCGGAATTGATATATGGCCAGTTTAGTTTAAAATTGGGATGAATCATAAATTTTATTTGCAAGTATATCGTATGTTTTGTCTGACAGTCTATTATCCTTTTGAGGGCTAATGCTACAAGTCTTCTTTTTAAAGTCTGGCCTGTGATTCCAAAATAAGCTCTAAAAATATATCAGATCAATTTATAAATATAAACAAGTTTTTACCTTCTGCTATGTTTCCAAATATCTGCCATGGTACATATATAGGATATCTCTGATAACTCTGCTATTAGAGCATCTTTAGTCACTTCAAAGTTATCTGCTATCTTAATTATTAGTGTTTGGTAACATAAAATTGTTGTACCAAGGGATAGAGTTTTAACCATCATGATAAATGATGGATTATCAACCAAGGACATTGGCTGAGCTGTATCAATTATAAAATCGACAATGACTTTATCAGCCAGCATCTGAGAAATATTGGCATTTGCAATATTATTAATTAATTTAGCTTGAATTGAATGGATGTAGTCTCTCCTATACTAAAATTATTACGATGTTTTTCTATCTTTTTAAAACAGTTGGCATAAACATTCTTATAAAATCTATTAGAATTTAAAAATGGCAATTACCTTTAGGTGTTTTTTGAAGTTAGCTACTAGATTTATTTAAGGATATATATTTTTTAAAATTTTAAACAAATAAATTTGTAGCCACCTTTTGTTTTTACAATTTGAAAATATTTCTCAAATTTTGGAAATGCAGAATGAGTATTATTGGTATCATGAAAAATTTATTCCAGGGTGCTTTCCATTTCATTAACATCATTGTCTGACTCACTTACATCGATTTGGATATCCATTTGTGATGACATTTTAAATAATACACCAGATCAGATGATTTCGGTTTATAATACAAATTGAAAATATAAATTTAATTTCAAGATTAAACAAATAAATCATAAAAATTATAATTAATTTTTCATGTTTATAGTTACATTCATTATATTTTGTAGCTCGCTCTAAAAAATAAATAATTGGGAAAAAGTAGCGTGCTATTAGCTATTGCTACCAAAAAAGATAGTGTGCTACAAGTAGCGTGCTACTTTAACAACTCTACCTATAACCTAATTTAAATAATATATTTATATACATAATTATAATCAAAAAATGTATTATACCATAGAGAGTAGTCCTGGTTTATCATGTTTTAGTACAAAGTTTTCATCCTTAAAGTTCCCTCCATATATACTCATAACACCTGTACCATCATTCTATAATCAAATATATGTGAAAATTTGGAATTTAATAGGAATATTTTTAATTAGGAAATTTATATATAAAGTAATAAAAATTGTTCAGAATAAATTATGTATTAAAAAAAGGATTAATGTAAATCCCTTATATTATAGAAGAAATTTTTTACTTTTCATGCTTTTGAATATCGCTCGAGTTTATTATTTTTAATAAGAAGCAAATTTTTTGACTGATTATATTTAGTATTTCTCTAAGTGCAGATTATTTCGTAATTTTAAAATATAAATAGTGCAGAGAACTGAAATAAGTGCATTTTTTGTTTTTCTTCATCACCATTTATTTAAAGTTTATTTTTTTTGGTGACTATAGGTACTAGAGCTCTGCAAGTTCTACTGGCCCAAAATGTTTATTTTTAGTCTGACTACACTCGAAATTTGTTTATTACAAAAATAATGGACAAAATACCAAATTGGGAATAAGGATGATATTTCACCCATTTTTAGAGATTTCTTTAAGAACTTAATTTAAATCAGGGATATAAACCCTTCAACAAAAAAAAGGGTCCAGGTCTGGGTATAATAATAATTTAAAAAAAGTCATTTCAATATATACACATTCATAATTTACAAATAAAATTTTTTAAAATGATATAATTTATATTTTAACTGTTTTATTCAATCGCACAATCATAATATCTTCTAAAATATCATCCTTGAGATTTCCATGTAAATTAGACTATATATTTCAAAGATGAAAATCTACGTTCTATGCTTACCTAAAACAGATAGTCATTAAATTATTGTACTTGCATGGCCGGTACAGATGACAATTCTAGACAAGATATATAATTCTGGATATATTGAAGAATTTTAAAATATTTGTATTCCTATTTATTCTCTTAACTTCTGAAAACTTTTCTATTAAGATGCAATAGGCATATTTTGATCCTCTATCTGATGATAATTTGTTTTGTTCTCTATCTAAAAGTAAAATTTCAAGATAGTCAATGTTGCTATCATTTTAATCACTACAACCAGTATGTATTATTGTCGTAGTCTCCAATATATTGTAAATAATGGAGTTTTGCGTAAGCCATAAATTCTTAAGATAGTCTTTAGCCATTTGCTTTTGCTCAATACTCAATAAAATTTGATATCAGGGTCTAAATATATAGAAGCATATGCAACACTATTTTGCAAATATTGTTACTCTCGAATATTATGTTTTCTAATATTTCATACGAAAGGACTAGTAAATCTTTCTAAATCTAACCAGCATCTAATCCATATGCCAATGCCATGAAAATCAGATAAACATAATTGTTATGAATGATCTTAAAGTTGTTATTTTTAAAGGAACTAATAAACTAGTAAGGTCCTTTATTTGGCACCAATCATCTTCCGACAAAATGTTCACATGCTTCTATAATAAAATAATTACAGAAATCTTTCAAACTTAATAATAGTTCTAGCATCATACAAATTGAGGGCCAACGTGTTGTGCAATCTAATATTGTCATTGGCCTTTTTATTCATTTTAATATTCTTACAATTGTGGGAGTTCTTAAATATTTTGCAACATCCCTTGCTTTAGTTTTAAAATTATTATTTTTAGGAAATCATTAATAGTCAATTGTAGAGTATGGGCTGCACATCTGATGCAAATATATTTGTGGGAATATCTATTAATAAATTTACATAATAAAATATTATTAGCTACACTAGAAAATAATTTTTGATATCAATCTCTAAATAAAATGGAAGTCCAGAAAGAAAATTGAAAGAAAAACGCGAAGATAAAATAAATAATAAAAAATTTTATATTATTTAAAAAAAAAAATTTTATATTATTTTTTACCCAGAACCCTTCACTTTTAAAGAAGGGTCCAGGTTCACATCCCTGATTTACCTAGCATTTATTAATATCAATTTCAAATTTACTTTAAAAATTAGGAGATATAAGTGAGATTACCAATTTTCCACTGTAATATGGGAATCAAATTGGGGAAGATAATATTTTGTCCATTTTTAGAGATATTTTTAAAAACTTAATTTAAATATATGTGTTTAGTTCCTTAGTATCTTTTAATATCAATTTCAAATACACTATAAAAATGTTCTAGGAGATATAAGTAAGATTCACAATTTTTTGCTGTTTCCATACCAAATTCATCAAAATGATGACTACAACTTTAAATGTCATGAACCCTAAAAGTTTACAACATTTTTTAAAGATTTCTATTTGAAAATATTGGAAAAACACTAAGCAACATATTCCATATAAATTTATTTAATTTATGTTTTTTATGCAATTCATTTTGTTCATATTTTGACTAAATTTTTTTTATCTATGGGGGACAAAGTTTACAAATAGTACTCAATTATTTATTAGGACCTTTTCATCTTGGTCATCAACATTAAAGACATAGCATATGTATTCATAAAGTATGTGTCTTAAATAATATTTTTAAATAAAAATTATTTGGGTGGAAAACATGTTCTTATAATATTACTCATGAGCTAATAATAAAAATATCAAAATTCCAAAGAAAACTCATAGAGGACATGATGCATGCAATGACATTGTCATTGGATATATGATGAATAATGTAAAATACAAGAATTCTAGATTATCATAAAAATTTTTTAATTAAATTATATGTAACTGATAAATCTAAAAAAATTTTTTTGATATAAAACATGTTTTTATTGTTATTTTCATATAAAAAAATTATTACTTACATTTAGAAAATCCCCACCTTGAATCATAAAATCCTTAATAACCCTAAATAATTGATTAGTCTTGCTATTAGAAAAATGTATACCTATGAAATGTAGATTTTTTAAAACCCATAGGAATTCCATCTTTTTTATGCTCCCCTGTACAAAATTGCCTTCATTTTAATATTAAAACAAAAAATTAATATTTGTTAGACCTAAAATTTTCAGCAGTTTTAGGGACAATATCGGCATAGAGTTCTATCTTAACTCTTCCCACTTCCTAAGGTTTATAAAAATAGAGAATAGCAAGCTATAAATGTAATATAATTAAACTTACCGTTGTCCCAACCATAATATCAAAGAAAACTATAGGATTTGCAGGATTTCGTATCATCCTTTCGAATATAATGTATCAGACATATTGTCATCTATCACCTTCATGTAAATTCAGAGGGTAATGATGTGTAACGTTGAACGCTATTAATTTTTTATGATTTTTGTATTCTCGGGCCAAACGCTAGCTGTGAATGAGGTTACCCTGCATTCACAATTAGCGTGACTTCTTGGTGAAGAATAGATTTAATTCGATTTGATTTAATTCATATTTTACGAATATTTAATTTATACTTTACGACAATTAACATTTAACGAATATTTGATTCGTATTTTATGAATATTCAATTCTATTTTATGAATACGAATAACAAAATATTTTTTATCCATTATTCGGTCGAATTATTTATATAATTGAAATTATTATGCTATTCGAAATTATTCCTAAATATTCCTAAATATTCAAAATTATTTGTATATTCTAAATTATTTGTAAATATTCCAATTTATTTTTAAATATTTGAAATTTACGTAGGTATTTAACATTTTCCTTTTAGGAACCTTTTTTTAACCCTTAGTTCCACAACTGTAAAACACTTTTAAAAATTTTAATAACTTTTCCTTTAATGTTCTTTGTATTGTCACAAATTTCCACACTCTCTAGCCACACATTCTTCCTTTTGACATCGAAAACACTCAATGTTTCATAATGGAAATATTCCTTTTTATTTCTCACTCTCAATAGTTAGCATAGGTATTATTGCTGGTATTACATTCCTCTCATTGTGATCAAATCGTCCATAACCCGTAAATAGCAAACTTTCTTTTTTTCACGCAGTAATCTCTTATCATATGGCATTGTCTACCACAGTTATCCCTCTTCCTTGAAAATCAACGGTCTCATTTCTAATAGCCTTCCCTGCTAATTTTCTCTAGGCCCTCTATATGGCCCCAACAGTTGATTATTATCAGATCCTCCATACTGGTCTACATTCTCAGGCCTTTTCTTCCTTTCATTATAATTCCAACTCCCAACTTCACTAACAGGCCACACTTCAATCAATTCTTGCAAAGGTGACCACATTACCTTTTCAATCACATTCTTTTCTCCGTGTCCTTCTATCGTTAAGACCAGTGGCGTAGCTAGGAATTTTCCTTAGAGGGGGTCCATACATATAAAAGCCTAGGAGGCTTCGCCTCCCAAACCCCCTTTTACGGGCCTTCGGCCCTTTTGCCTGGCCTTCGGCCAGGTTTATCTTATAAATCAACCATATCTTCGATAATATATAATAAATAAATTTTTTAAATGCATCAATAATTTGTTTTATAATTTAGTAGATTATTCTCAATGACTTTATAATAATACAATCCAGAATAATTTCAATAGTAATATAATATCCTTCCACAAACATCAAAATCAGAAAAATATAAATATTATTGGTTTTTATTTAATATAAAGTCACCACTTATAAGTCTTTTGAACGTATAATCTAAAAATAAATTTTTGCTCTGGGAGGGGTCCAAACCCGAAAACCACTCCCGTAGCTACGCCAGTGGTTAAGACTTTTATTCACTTCGGTTTCTCGTAATTCTTTTACCTAGATTAAATTACACATTCCTATGGGATCAACGTTCCAAAAATTTTATATTGTATCTTCCAGTATTTGACAAATTTTAAACTTTTCATCAACATTTTAGTAAAAAGTTATAATCAACATCAATATAAATATTTCGGTCATTTGTTAATATTAATAGTTCAAAAATGTAAATATACATCCACCATTTAAATTATCGAATCATTCCCTTTAAGATCAGATTAAATTCATACTGTTTTTATTATCCCGAAACTAAAAAAGGATAATTAACGCTTTTGGTATTTTAGACCCATCCAATAATTTTTATAATTAACTCTTTCGCTGGGTCGTCGTTAGCTAGGTACTTTGGGTGCGAAGGCACCCCCCTTTTCAAAATTAGCACCAATTTTGAAAAATAAAACAGCACCATATTTTTTTAAAATTAGCATCAAATTTTTAAATAATTACATTTAAACAAATATATTAATATTAAATTTAAATCGTTTTTTACAAAATTTTAGAGCTTATTTAAAATAAATATCAATTTTCTTGTAACATTAAATCCTAATATTTTCATAATTTTCTTCCTTTCGCCATAAACAAATATAAAGTTAAAAATCATAAAGACTTATATTTTAAATACATTCATTTTTGTGCTGATTATTGAATATACAAAAAATTGGGATAATTTTCCAAAAAATTTAATGTTTATTTTTGAATTGATCTCATGAGACGTTTTTATTCTAACAAATAAAATGGTCTCTTTGAAGTTAAGGGGAAAGTTTACATAAGCTGTGTGAGAAATTGTATAGTATATGGTGGTGAAACATGGGCAATGAGAGCGTCTCTCGAAGCTAAATTGGAAAATGAAAATGAATATGGTTAGATGGATGTATGTATATATGAGAAAGATTAAAACTAACAAAAGATTGTGGCAAGTAATGAGGAGAATAGAAACATTTGGAGTGATAATGCAAAGAAATAGACTGAGATGCTTTGGGCATGTGGAGCATAAGACGAAAGATAACTGCGCCTCGATGGAAGTAAGGATCAAGGCCTCCAGGATGACATAGATAAAGGTGATAAAGGAGGATATGAGATAAACAGATCTCACAAGATGCTCAGGAGTGGCAAAAATGAAAAAGGAGAAACAAAAGCAGAAACTGATTTATTCGGACAAACCTAAAAATCTTTATTAAAGGGAGAAGAAAAAAGAATAAGCTTGGTAAACATATAATTTTTTTGATAAGAAAATCTAAAAGAGAAAAGTTATTATTCATTATTAATTCGTAGTCTTGTAAAATTTTTGATAAATAATTACAAGGCAGCCGCCAATCAACAATATGCATAAAATAATAAAAAATAATATGATTATTATTTTTGGAAAATATATCCTTTTCTCCGTTGAGAAGATAATTATTATTGGATTATGATATTTGATTTTTTTTAATATTTGGATTATAAAATGTTTGATATTAGTTGAATAAAATCATTAAATACAATATGGTGTATTCTTCTTTTACGAGAAAAGTTGAAATGTTAAATAAAGTTAGGAGAAGTTAATTGAGAATATTGATTATGAGGGTAAAACAGTTGAGTTATATTCTATATATGTGTTAGATACTATTTTGATTATATATATTAAATTTAATTTAGAATATATGAATCTATAGACATTAATCCGACCAAACACCGGGTAAAAGCCTACCGTAGGCCCTCTAAATGAATGTGAGGGGGAGTGGGGGCGAAACATCCTATAAACTATACATAAATAGAAAATATTTATAAACACTTAAAATTTTTTTTATCAAACTTTAGCACCTTTTTTTGTAAAATGCTAATGAATCCCCCTGATATCTTTCTTTCTTTCTTTCTTTCTTTCTTTCTTTCTTTCTTTCTTTCTTTCTTTCTTTCTTTCTTTCTTTCTTTCTTTCTTTCTTTCTTTCTTTCTTTCTTTCTTTCTTTCTTTCTTTCTTTCTTTCTTTCTTTCTTTCTTTCCTAATTTTGAAAAAATTGAAATATGGGCTAATTTAGTAATATATTTTTCTAAGTTTTTTTGATAAGAAAATCTTAACGACAAAAATCTTTTATATCGCGGTTATTTAAGGATTTTTAAGCGACATAGGCATATCCAGGATTTTGCTAAAGGGGGGGGGGCTTGGATGATTTCCTATATAAATTTTATTGGAGATCTTTAGATTCATTCTTTGTAGGCCTTTGACTATATTTAGACCTGTGCGACTATCGGCGGCCGGCGCAATTTTCAAAAAATCTTATCGACGGCCGGCGGCGCGCCGATTTTTAGCCGCCGTCAATAAAATCGGCGTAAATCGACGCAGTTATAAATCTTTATAGCATAAATTTTTTAATTGCTCATTATTTAAAAAAAACGAATATACACTACTCTACAGATATCTCGGCATATTTTTTAATATTTATTTAATAGAAAACACATTATAAATCCAAAATCGATTTCGTAATTTTATAATTATAATGTATAAAAATTATTTTATTTAAATTTTCGGGACATAATGATGATCACCTTGAATTTAACGTCAATCCAGAGGTAGAGAAAACTCTTTCACTAGGTGTGCTACTCACCCGAATGCAAAGAATTTTTTGGCGAGCCTGAAAAGATTGGAAAGTTCATTCTTCTTTTCTCTTCAAAAATTTAGAACGTCCATATCTTGTGAATATCGTTTTCCAGAAAACTGTGGCATTCTTGTTCAAGTCACTTAACTTGGAATCATAATTTATATTTGTTGAATGTTTATTTGCCAATTTTGTCAAATAACTTAAATTTAGTAATTCATCTTGATCCTCATTAGCTATAATTACTACCTGATTATCATCATTCTCTATAAGTTTAAGATGTTTTATTATAAATTCTGAAGCTGTTTGCTCTATTAAATACTTTGAAACAATTGTCAATTTTGAAATCTTCCAATACCTTGATAATTTTAAATAAAAAATAAAAGAATATTATATATTATTACTTGCAGATTACAAACCGAAAATCGTAACGCAAGTTTTTTTAAACATATTTTCCTTAAGTGAAATGATTTCAGAACTATCACTATCATTTACTATTAAATTAGTTTCAATTTCACTTCTAAAAAATAACGCCAAGTTTTAAGTAGGCCCTTTTTGTACTGAAAGAAATTCGACAGTTTTTTTATTTAAAAGAAATGCTAATAGTTCTTCTACAAGCTCAGATTCATAATTTGATAATTTGAGAAAGTGCTCCAATTCTTTTCAAAACATTATTAATTAAATTCTTATTTAATCCAGATATGCTTTCTAGCATAATTAATATACTATGCCAACGTGTTGGGACATTTAATTTTAAGGTTTTCATATGCGTGAAATTATTGCTATTATTATCATTGGAATTGCAAGGCTGTCCGATCAAACATGTCTGATGCTAAATCTATTGTACTTAGATATTTTTTTGATCTTCCTCGAGTTCAAATCCAACCTCTTCAGTTTTATATCTTAGAGCAGTAATAATTTCTCTAATTCTTGCAAAAAAATTTCCAGACTATTTATTTTTTATTATCCAGAGTTAGGATATTAAAATTA